CTACTGGGGGACCGTGAACCAGTGCTCACAGGTCTTCTTCTCGCCCGGGGAAGCGGTGGTCAACGCAACAGTGGAAATGAAGGCGGAGGTCGTCAACAGGAATTTCACAAGTGACCTCAGCAATAAATCGTCCACTGATTTCCTGAACTTTGAGAAGGAATTCAAGGAGCAGGTCAGCAATACCCCCATGGCCGGGGACACCCCACACCAGGACGGCCCCCACCAAGGGGGCATTAAGGGCGAGACAGGTCCCCATGGTCCCTCTTTGCCTTTCCAGATGGCCCGGCTTTACAGGAATATACCGAGTTACCAAGGGGTGATAATCCACAGCCTGAGGTGAGTGGGGGCACTAGGGGCCAGGTGGCATCTCCCAACGTGTCCCCAACCTCTCCTTGACCTCCAGCGAGGTGATTTGGGGTGTAAGACACCTTTGGGGGTGATTTGGGGTGATGTTTTCCAAGGATGGGGTATCCCCACAGCTTTGAGGGCCGTATCTGATGTCCACATCATCCCTCCATGCTGGGGAACCCAAACTGACCCCGGCCTCAAGCTGGGGTCCTCCCAGGGGCCTCTCTCTCCTCACCCCTTTGGTCCACCATGGGATCACACTCCATGGTGACCACAGGCTGCACGAGTGTCCCTTGGGGGTGGATATGTCCTCCAGCAGGACCTGTTGCAGTCTGGGGTTGTTGTGGGGTGGTGTCCCCCCAGCTCTGTGAAGCCACCAATGCTCTTTCTCCCCGCAGCGAAGGCAGCATCATCGTGAACTACACGGTCATCCTGCAGGTGCCTCTCACCAGCACCATCAACAGCACGACCGAGAGCATCTCCAAAGAGCTGGTCGCTGCTACCAACAGCTTGGACAGCTGCTGCACGACCAACGCGTCGTGTGAGTGACCATGGTGGCCCTTGGGGAGGGCTCCTGCCTGGCACTTGATGTCAGGGTCCTCGGGGCTCCTCCGGCCGAGCCTGGACACGTACATCAGTGGCTGCTCTCTCCGATGCAGGTGGTTTCTGTTTCAACGCCGCTTTCACCAACGTCACCAGCTACAGCGCGGAGAGCGTTGAGGGTGAGTCCTCTCATGCGTGTGGGCCTTCCAACCTGGGTGAGCAGAACCCAGCAGGACTAAAGATCTCCAAGCACCACCCTCATCCTCTGCTCCTTTATGAGGGCCCCAACTCCACGTCCATGAGTCTCCAGGCCCATAACAATGTGTTCTTCATCTCCACGGCCCCCATTCCCATGGGTCCCCATGCCTATGTGTTCCTCATCTCAGTGCCCCCCATCTACATCCCTGWGGGTCCCCATGCTCAAGCTCCCCTTCCTCATCCCCACGGGTGTTGACTCCCTCAACCCCCCTTGCCTTTGCCCCCCCCAGACATGTGCGCTGACCGAGTCCCGGCCGACTTCAAGGATCACTACTCTCTCGTCCTCACAAGAGACGGTGCCATATGTGCCACCAGATGCGACCCGAGAGTCGCCAACCCCTACACCTGCACCTACGGCACATGTGTGGTGGAACGCAGCGGGCCCCAGTGCGAGTAAGCGCCCCACATTGCACAGCCGGTGCCACCCGCGTTCGCGGACTTGGTGCCTCTTGCGCGGGGACGATGATGGCTCCTCCCCAACCACCCRCTCCCCCTTTTAGATGCTCAGACGAGGCAGCGTTTTGGTACATGGACAGCACCTGCTCCTCCCGTGTCAGCAAGATAGGGGTGGCCATAGGAGTGCCYGTGGCTGTGCTGGCCATTGCCACCATCGTCTTCACCATCTTCTTCGTGAGGGCTCGGCGGGAGAACGTGGAGTACAGGCAAGTGCAGGGTGGAGAGAGCGTAGGAAGGGGCCCGGACGCCTGGGTCCCGCGGGGGCTCTGAGCCACGACCGTGTGCAGGGAGAAGCTGTCGTCCCGCTCGGAGCTCTACACTGCCGAGGACGAGAACTGGAGCAGYGCCCAGGGTTTCGCCGCCAGCAACCAAGGGGCCAGTTGGGAAGGTAGGGCACGGCGAGTGCCAAGGCCAAGGGGTTGGTGAAGGGGGCTGGTGAAGCGGGGGGGCTACAACAGCCTTTTGCCCCATCTTGGGAGCCGGTGGCTTCCAACAAACCCATCTGGGCACGTGTACCACCCTCACCCCCGCTCTCCTCCCGTCTCAGGCTCCGAAACCCCCAACATCTACATCAGCCTGGAGAACGTGGACACCTTGCAGAGGGTGAGTCTGGCAGCTCCAGGACCTCTGGAGACCCTGGGGGCACCGCCGGCCTCACAGCCTCCTCTTCCTCCCCAGATTCACATCCAGAAGCCCTCCAGAGTCCTCCCCTGAGCCGAGGCCGGCAAGTGAGGGGAGTCGCTCAGGGACGGGGTGGCAGTGCTGGCACCGAGCACCCCGCATCTCCCCTCCGACAGCCCCGGAGGAAAAGAAACAGGGAAAAAAATAAGCTAGTTCCTCATTCCTTGAGCTACTCAGCACTGCCGGGACGTGAGGACGGCGCTGCACGCGCGTGACGCCGCYGCACCCTTTGCACCCATGTTTATAGGCCCTTGGCTTCCCGCCACCCGTTGCTCTTTCACCATGGGACCTTTTATAGACTAATAAAACCTGCTAATTCTAGTGCCGGCCGCGTCATTTCCTCATACCGATTTAGCCCGGGGCGGGTTGGATGTTTTCCCAGCTTATGATCCTTGTGGTGAGAAAGGGCGTCGCCTCCCTTGGGTGCAATGCCCMGGAGCGCGGTTCCCTCCGCTTCCCGCAGAACTGGTTTTTCTGAACGCGTGGACCCTGGCCAGGWTGGTCCCGCGTCCCCTCCCTGGAGGGACAGACCCTTGGAACGCATCACGCAGCAACCACACGGCAAAGGGGACGCCCACGGCACCCGCTTTCGCGCCCGCGCCGCCCGTCATGCCCTGGTGGAGCTGGGATGTGGAGCGGAGCGTCCCTGGATCATTTTACTGCCCGGGAAAAGCAATTGAGCTTTCCATGCACCGGGCTATGGATGGTGCAAGTCTGAGATGTGACCTGTGCATCCGACCGTCCCCATCCCACTGGGCTCCATCCTCATCCTCCCGCACAACCGCAGCTCTTCCCTGGSACAAGGGTGYATTTARCCCTCCCCAAACTCAACCTCTTCCCAATATCCTTGGGAAGAGACGCTACCCCTTGGGGGTAGACGGGAAATTTGAGGAGAAAACGCTTCCCAATATCCCTGTTTTCTCCTCAATTTCCCACAGCTCTTCCCAGTTGAGCTTCCAAGCTCAACCTCTTCTCTGTATCCTTGGAAAGAGACGCTACCCCTTGGGGGTAGATGGGAAATTTGAGGAGAAAACACTTCCCACTATCCTTGGGATATTCCCTATCCTTGGGAAGGATGTTGGGAAGTGTTTTGTCCTCAAAAGTCCCACAGCTCTTCCCTGGCACAAGGGTGCATTTAGCCCTCCCCAAACTCAACCTCTTCCAAGTATCCTTTGGAAGAGACCCAACCTCTTCGGGGTAGAAGGGAAATTCGAGGAGAAAACGCTTCCCAATATCCTTGTTTTCTCCTCAAATTTCCTGCAGCTCTTCCCCGGGACAACGGTGCATTTAACCCTCCCCAAACTCAACCTCTTCTCAATATCCTTGGAAGATATTCCTTGGGAGGGACATTGGGAAGGATATCCTTGGGAAGGATACTGGGAAGTGTTTTCTTCCCAAATTTCCCATCTACCCCAAACCAGGCAAAGAGGAAGAGGAAGGAGGGGACAAAGAAGGACCRTTCCTTGCTGCAGGAGGGGATTTACAAGGGGGASGGCTCCGCGCTGGCCGATGTCTCCRTCCCRACACCTTTCTACGCTGAAATTAGAATCATTTCCACCTTGTCCGGGTGTAAAAAGCAGCGGGTGGCCTCCCTGTGACCCGCGGGAGAAGGTGACACGCAAAGGACACCGGTTGGCAGCAGGTTCCTCATTCCTGGAGGGAGCAACGTCCAAACGCTTGGGAAAACAACCCCGAAAGGGGAGGTTCCTGCAGACTCGTCCCTCCCTTGCGGCGGGATTGGGTGTATCTTTGGCTGCGGCGAGGGGGAAAAGGGGATGGGGGAAAGGATGGAGAATTTGGTGGGTGACAAAGGAGGGTCCCCAGCACCCATGGGAACAGGAGAAGCTCTTCCTGGAGGGAAAAGGGGTTGGCTGTGTCCCATGGGGAATGCTCATGTCCCYGTGTCCCGTGAGAGCCTGTCGCATCCCAGAGGTCCCCTGCTTGTTCCCGGTGGGTTCTCCCATGGGGAATGTTCATGTCCCCATGTCTCACCAGAGCTGGTGGCACCCAGGGACCCGTTTGCTGCCGACACGTGGTGGGGTTTGGCTCCACCTCCTGGTATGGGATGCGGCACTGGATCCAAAGCAACCAACCAACTCCTCCCAAAAAAAGTGGGGTGGAAGAAGAGGCACCAGATGAACAATGTGCAGGCCAAATTCTGCACCACGTCTTCCAATCGCTTCTGTTCCTCTATGGAATGAGGGCATTTGCCCAAATTGAACGCCAAAATTGGCATTCTAGGAGGGGGGTTCTCTATCCCCGGTGCTCCCTGCAGTCCCYGGGCCCTGCTCTGTGCCCTGCTGTCACCTGCCTGCGGGTGACAAGCGAAGATGTCTGTCAGTGGTGCTGTGGGTGACAGGCGGAGCTGGGGAGCCCAAGGTTTCCTCTTGGCCCAGCCCCTCTTTTCTTTCTGGCCTGGGAATGCCAACAGAAGCTGGGTCAAGATCCTGGACGCAGGGTCGACACCCCAGAAATGCCGACAAAGTCAGGGTCACAAGCATGGAAAACGGCATTGGAATGGTGACCCTGGAAGTGGGGAAAACACCCCAAAATATCAACAAAAATGGGGTCATAGCCCTCCAAACTGCCCCACRAAGAGGCCTGGGGCTCTCCCACAGAGCCCGGGCTGATCCTTGCTCTGGTGTCACTGGACAGCAGTGCCCGTGAGGGGAAACGTCCAACCCCGAGGTCCCTCCGTGGGTCACAGCCGTGTGACGACGCTCTCCGGCCTCTGGATATGGATCTGCCGCAAGGAGGGAAGCGGAGAGGGAGGCCGTGAGCGGGAACGGGGACAGCTCCACCACTCCCGCATCTTCAGGGTGGGAAGGGAGCGCAGACTCACCGGTGTCGATGTATCCACRGACTCCTGGTCAACTCGGGTGTCCTCTGGGACGGCGCCTGCGGGGAGGAGGTTGGAACAGGCCTCAGGGGAGATGTTCGGAGCGGGATGAACCAGCTCCCACCAGCCCTGCGGGGACCCTCCGCACCTTTGTTCAGGAAAAAGAAGCTCCCTGRTGGGCTCCAGTCCTCGCACGAGTCCTCGTACCACTTCCTCGTTGCCGTCAAGGCGCTCATGCTGCCGGAGACAGATAAGATACATATGGAGTCACCCACAGAGGGTCCTTCCCCTCCCCAGACCCACCAGCTCCTCCTCTACCTCCTTCCCTAACGGACCCGAGACCTGCCCTATGAGTGGACGAGCTGAGGAGACCCTCCTGGAGCTCCTCCTCTACCTCCTCTACCTCCTTCSCTAACGGACCCGAGATCTGCCCTATGAGTGGACAAGCTGAGGAGACCCTCCTGGAGCTCCTCCTCTACCTCCTTCCCTAACGGACCCAAGACCTGCCCTATGAGTGGACGAGCTGAGGAGACTCTCCTGGAGCTCCTCCTCTACCTCCTTCCCTAATGGACCGGGACCTGCCCTATGAGTGGACAAGCTGAGGAGACCCTCCTGGAGCATCTCTGGGGTTTGGTCTAGGTCAAGGACCACCTTGTGCCGTGTGAAGAGGTTTCCTCCGTGATAACGTCCCTCGTCCCTCCCCAGTAACGTCCCTTGTCCCCAGAGAGGGAGCGCATTCACCCAAGCCATCCGAGCCAACCATTGCCCCTCGTTTTACGGCCCGTCTCACCTGTCAAATGACTTTGTTCTCCGGGCTCTGTAGAGGAGGCCAGCGAGGACAATGATGACCACGATCAGAACTGCTACGGCCAAGCCCAGCCCCACGGCGATCTTGCTGGTCCGGGTTTTGCAGCGGGTGCCCTGGTACCAGTAGATATTGGTCTCGTGGCAGCTGTGGGGAGGAATGGTGGAGATGAGCGCAAGGCCAGGAGCTCCACGAGCAGAGACCTCCCCCAGGTCCCATTTTTGGCTGCTTCTGCAAACGGAAGTCCCTTTTGGACTAAGATCCTGTTTCTATGATCCCTGCTCCAAATCCCTGGAGCTTTGGCCTGTTCCCACCCTGGGAGCTGAAGGGAGCAGAACACGTGAAGGTCAGAGGTGGTCATGGAGGTGGCACCRCAGTGGCAGCACCAAGCCATGGTCAGAAGTAGGTTGGGCAGAGGCGATGGATTTATGGCACCCCTTACAAGCACTGCGGGCCGCTGCGGGTGAGGTGGCACTGCCCGTAGTTGCAGTCGATGGTGCTCAGGGTGTTGGCCGTGCAGTTGGACATGCACAACAGCCCCGAGCTTGTCAGGTTGGGGAAGTAGAAGTCCTGGTAGCCCTCGGGGGTGATCTGCTGGCAGTAGGCTGGAGAGGAGAGAAGAGGGTAGTGAGATGGTGGTTACCCCGAACCCTCAAATGATGGTCACCCTGAGCCGTGACCCTCTGTGAGGACTCCCCATCCACTTACTCTCCACGTCGAAGGAAAGCGATCCRGGGTCAACCACGTTAACGGAGGAGTTGAAGCAGAGCTCGTCTGGAAAAGCAGAGGAGAAGCTGCCCCACATGGCGCCAAGCTCCTGCTGCCCTGGGGCTTCAAGGAGTCCCCGGGGCAGCAATGGGGGTTTTGGCTTCACGGCTACGTGTCACAACGTGTGTCCCATCTCCTCCCAAGCCCTCGCCGGGACGCTCACCCGTGCCCTCCGTGCAGTTCTGCTGGGCCGCTGCCGCCCGTATCTCTTCCCGCAGGACCAGGGAGAGGTTGCGGAGCTCGTCCTGCACTTGGGAGGTCACCGGCAGGGAGATGATCACTTTGTGATCTACCACGATGCTGCCAGGTCTGGAGGGACACAGAAGCCACCCTTCAGCCTGGACAACAGAGGACTTGCCCTCTGGATGAATCGGGAAAGCCACCGGCTGGGGCTGCAGGACAAGTGAGTCCTACTGTGACTTCTCCTTCCCCCAGGGGAAAACTTCAACCCCTCCAGGAGCCCTTTAGCTGCCTCCACTGCAGCAACCCAACACTTTCCTCCCATACCTCGTTCCCCAGCACTCACGTTAAACGTAGGATCTCGATGCCCCGGTATCCAGCAATGTTCTTGTAAACATTGTCCATCTGGAAGAGAAAAGGGCTCCATGCTCAGTGTCACAACCTCCATCCATCCATCCATCCATCCATCCATCCATCCATCCATCCCCTGGCTTTGCTTCACCATCATGAGAGGTTCTTCCTCCCCATCTTTGCCCGCTCCCCTCAAAACACACCAATATCTCCAGCAAGGAGCAGCCGGAGATGTTCCCAGTGGATGGAAGCAGGAAACACCTCCAGGATGCGGTTGAGGTGACAACCAGCAACACTAGATGCTTTCTGCTAGGGCATGTAGAAGGAAAACACAGGCACTTGGAGCATCCCGCTCCCTTCTCCAGGCAGGGCCATCCCTTCTCCCACGTCCCACCTGCTTGGTGAACTTCTGCACAAAGGCACGATACGCCGAAGAGCTGTTGTCCTTGAGGTCACTGGTGAACTCCTGGTTGGTGACCCGCACCTCCAGCTGTACRGTCCCATTTGCCTCTTTGGGGACACATAGAGAAGAAGGACAAGTCCAGACCAGAGAGCAGGGGATAAACAACCTCCCTGCAGGAGCTGCACAGGTTTCACCCCTCAACACCCACAATTTTAGACTTGCTGCACAGGAGCAAGAGAGGAACRTCCTCCAGCGCTTACCAACCAAACTGGAGCTCATCCAGGAGCCCATCTGGTGTCCTAGGTAAGACAGTCCCGCTACAGCTCAGTTCTTCATGCCCAAGATGAATATCCTCAAGACAACATAGACCACTTGGCTCAAACTCCTTAGGACCCAAAGCCCACTACAAGGCTTAAATGTCCTGATGGGCCTCACCTGGGACCTCTGTTCATTGGCCTGACAGCTGCACTTAAGCTCAGCTCATTGCATCTAGGGTTCTTCTTGTTGAATCTCTCTTTGTTCGCTTAAGCTCAGCTCATTGCATCTGCAGCTCCTCTGTGTTGAACCTCTCCCTGTAGTTGGTCCTGTCTCCTGGATATAAGGTGGACTTCTGTTGCTCCCTTATCTCCTGCTTAGAATCTCTGCATAGGTTCTGATTCATGGTCTTGCCCAATTTGCAAMGGTTGGCAGACCATCTTAAGACCAGTCCTGTTCTTCCAACCCTTTTAGGTGTCCTAGGACTGCGCCCTGGCTGGGAAAGGCTTTGCCTGGACCATGGTCACCCTCAGCTTGTCCTCCTTCATAAAGCAACCCCTTGCTGACAGATGGCTGACCTGGTAGGACCACGCCAGAGAAGACCTCTTACCGATTTTAGCGTCAAAGGTGTCCTCAGCAAATTCACACCGGTCACCCGTGACACCCGAGGGACACTGACACTGGCCGTTGACCCAGACAAATCCGTCCTCGCAAAGACCTGAGGTAAAGCAAGGCAAGAGAGTGAGAAGACAACTCCTTCTGCGACAGCTGGAACAAATCATGGTTGGGTAGATACCCGGCTTGGTGGTAGCTTGGGTACTGATGGTCCTCGTAGTGCTGGTGGTAGGGCTAGCTGTGGTGCTGCGTGTGGGTGTGTAAGTAACAGCAGGAGGTGCCGATGTGTTTCTGGTGGTGACCAAGGTGCCCACGGAGCTGGAGGAGGCAGTGGGAGGTGCAGAGGTGTGCATGGGAGCGTCACCTGAGGTGACAGAGTTGAGTGTGCTGGCTGYGTTGGGGTTGGTGGTGGTGGCCGAGCTGTTGGTGAAGACCGTGGAAGTTGCCGAGGTGTCTGAAGCGGTGGAGAAGGTGTTGGTGGTGCTGTCAGATGTTGTTGTGCTCTCCATACTCGGTGCAGAAGCTGAGATGGTGGTGGTGGAGCGTGAGGTGGGTGTGAGGGGCAAGACGCTGGCCGAGACGGTGGTGGTGGTTTCTCCATAGGAGGTGTTGGAGGTTGCTGTGCTCCCCAAGGCACCAGTGGAAGCTGCTGTGGTTTTGGTGGTCACGGTGTCCTGCATGGTTGTGGTGTCTGTGGGAGGGCGGCTGTTGATGCCTGGGGTGGTGGTGGAGGCAGATGCGGTGCTGGGAAGTGGAGAGGTTTCTGCGGTGCTTTGCCATGTGCTGCTGGTGGTGTGCGAGGTGTGAGCGGAGGATGAGGAGGTGTCCGTGGTGGAGGTGAAAGTGTCTGTGGAGGTGGTGGTCCTCACGGTCGTTCCCCCGGTGGCTGTGAGGGTGTTGGAGGAGTCTGATGAGGTTGGAGAGGTGYTTGTGGGGCCTAGTGAGACTTCAGCGGTGGAGGGGACATTCTCCGACGTTGTGGTGTAGGTGGTGCTGGAGGTGGCCACAGAAACCAAGCTCCCTGTAGAATCTGGTGTGGTGGTGGGCGAGTTGCCTGTGGTGGATGTGAGGGGGTTGCTGGTGGTGCCCGAGTTCATGGTGGTGGTGTGAGCAGAGGCTTGGGTTGTAGGTGCTGAGGKGTCTGCTGTGGTTGKCCATGGGCCACTGGTGGTGTCAGAGGTGTGAGTGGAGGTGGAGGAGATGGTGGTGGAGGAGGTGTAAGTGTGAGGAGAGGTGTCCATGGAGGTTGCGATGGTCCCGTCCAGGCTGCTGTCTGTGACCGAGGTGTCTGTAGAGACATTTGATTCCATGGAAGTTGCAGAGGTGTCGGTGGTGGTTGAGGAGGAGGAGGTGGGAGGTTCTGAGGTGTCTGTGGAGGAGGTCGTGGTGGCGTTAGGGGTGTCTGTGGGAGGAGAAGTGTCCATGGGGGTGGTCAGGGTTCCAAGGGTGGTTGATGCCGTGTCYGTGGCTATCTCAGTGCTTGATGTAGTCTCTGTAGAGGTGGCCACCGTAGAGTCGTCCTTGTCCATGGTGGGTGCTGAGGATCCTCYTGTGGTTGCAGAGGTGCCCAGGGTGGCAGAGGAGGCTCCCGGGGTTGCAGCAGCATTTGTAGGACTTTCCGAAGGAGCCGTGGCCGTGGTGGAGATGCTTGATAGGGTTGAAGGGGAGCTGGAGGTGGCTTGGGAGGTTTCTGTGTTGGAGCTGAAGGTGGTGGCGAGAGTTGTGGGGATGACAGTGGATGAAGCTGCGGTTCCAACGTCATCTGTAGACGGTGGTATGGAGAAGCTGGTGGTATGCAAGATGTCTGTGGTGGGTGTGAGGGGGCTGCTGTWGATGTCCATGGTGGTAGTGGAGGAGTCCAAAGCAGAGGTGGGAGKTCCTGAGGTTGCTGCGGTTCCCAAGGGCTCTGTGGAAGGTGGTGTGGTGGTTGTGGGYGTGGTGTCTGTGAGGGGGCTGCTCTGGATGTCCAAGGTGGTCATGGTGGTCTCAGCACTCGCGGTGGTGGCGCTTGTTGTAGTCACGGAGGTCTCTGTTGAATGGGGTGTGTTATTGGGGCGGGTGGTATCCAAGGTGGCCGAGGTGCCTGTGGATGTTGCAGGGGTGCCTGTGGTGGTTGTCAGGGAGGTGGTGGGAGGTTCTGAGGTGTCGATGGTTGTTTTGGAGGAGGCCGTGGAGGTGTTTGGGGTGTCTGTGGGAGGAGATGTGTCCATGGGGGTGGTCAGGGTTCCTGTGGTGGTGGATGCAGTGTCCATGGGCATCTCAGTACYTAGGGTGATGGTTGTTAAGGTGGTTGCTGTAGAGTTGTCCGTGCCCATGGTGGGTGCTGAGGGTTCTCTTGTGGCTGCAGAGGTGCCTGGTCTGGCCGAGGAGGCTCCAGGGGTTGTCGTGATGTTAGTAGGAGTCTCCCAAGTGCCCATATTGGTGGTGGTGGAGAAGGCTGATGAGGATGGAGTGGTGCTTGTGCTTCCATGGGAGATTTCTGTGGTAGTTCTGGACGTGGTAGAGAGGGTGTCCRTGGATGTGGAGGAGATGGCGGTGGAGGAGGTGTAAGTTTGAGGAGAGGTGTCCATGGAGGTTACAATGGTCCCTTCCAGGCTGCTGTCTGTGACCGAGGTGTCTGTAGAGACACGAGTGTCTGTGGAAGTTGCAGMGGTGTCGGTGGTGGTTGAGGAGGAGGAGGTGGGAGGTTCTGAGGTGTCTGTGGAGGAGGCTGTGGTGGCGGTTGGAGTGTCTGTGGCAGGAGATGTGTCCATGGGGGTGGTCAGGGTTCCTGTGGTGGTGCTTGATGCAGTGTCCGTGGGCATCTCAGTGCTTAATGTGGTGGCTGTTAATGTGATTGCTGTAGAGCTGTCCATGTCCATGGTGGTGGCTGACGTTTCTCTTGTGGCTGCTGAGGTGCCCAGGGTGCCAGAGGAAGCCCCAGGGGTTGTAGTGGCGCTCATGGGAGTTTCCCAAGTGCCCATGTTGGTTGTGGAGAAGACCGATGAGGTCAGAGTGGTGCTTGTGGTGACTTCTGAGATCTCCTTGGTGGTTCTGGACGTGGTGGAGAGGGTGGCAGAGGTGTGTGCTGTGGTTGGCCATGGGCCACTGGTGGTGTCGGAGGTGTGAGTGGAGGAGGCAGCAGTGTCTTTGGTGGAGGTGTCCGTGTTGGTGTCCGTGGTGAGGGGTGAGGATTGTTCAGGGCTTGTGGAGGTGTCCAGGGTRGCTGAGGAGATCGCAGGGGTTGCAGCGGGTTGTGTGGGAGTGTCAGGAGGGCCCTTGGTGGTGGAGAAGGTGGATGGTGTTGGAGAGACGGTTGTGGTGTCTTGGGAGACTTCGTTGGTGGAGCTGAAGGTGGTGGAGAGGGTGTTGGAGATAAGAGTGGATGAAGCCGCGGATCCCATGGCGTGTGTAGAAGATGGTGTGGTGAAGGTGGTGTCCAAGCTGTCTGTGGTGCCTGTGAGGGGGCTGCTGTGGATGCCCGAGGTGGTCATGGTGGTCTCAGCACTAGTGGTGGTGACAGTCGTTGTGGTTGTCGGATTCTCTGAGGAATGTGGTGTGTTTGTGGTGGTGGTGGCATCCGAGGTGTCTGTGTCCGTGGGAGTTGTGGAGGTGTGTGTGGTGGTTGATGAGGAGGAGGTGGGAGGTTCTGAGTTTTCTGTGGTTGTTTTGGAGGAGGCCGTGGAGGTGTTTGGGGTGTCTGTGGGAGGAGATGTGTCCATGGGGGTGGTCAGGGTTCCAAGGGTGGTTGATGCCGTGTCCGTGGCTATCTCAGTGCTTAATGTAGTCGCTGTGGAGGTGGCCACCGTAGAGTCKTCCTTGTCCATGGTGGGTGCTGAGGATCCTCCTGTGGTTGCCGAGGTGCCCAGGGTGGCAGAGGAGGCTCCCGGGGTTGCAGCACCATTTGTAGGACTTTCCGAAGGAGCCGTGGCCGTGGTGGAGATGCTTGATAGGGTTGAAGGGGAGCTGGAGGTGGCTTGGGAGGTTTCTGTGTTGGAGCTGAAGGTGGTGGCGAGAGTTGTGGGGATGACAGTGGATGAAGCTGCGGTTCCAACGTCATCTATAGACGGTGGTATGGAGAAGCTGGTGGTATGCAAGATGTCTGTGGTGGGTGTCAGGGGGCTGCTGTTGATGTCCATGGTGGCGGTGGAGAAGGAGTCCAAAGCAGAGGTGGGAGGTCCTGAGGTTGCTGCGGTTCCCAAGGCCGCTGTTGCAGCTGGTGTGGTGCTGGTGGTGTCTGCGAGGGGGCTGCTGTGGGTGTCCAGTCTGGTTGCAGTAGTCCTGTCTGGGCTGCTGTTAGTGACCAAGGTGTCTGTAGAGACGTGTGTGTCTGTGGAAGTTGCCGAGGTGTGTGTGGCCGTTGTTAAAGAGGTGGTGGGAGGTTCTGAGGTGTCTGTGGTTGTTTTGGAGGAGGTTGTGGTGCTGTGGTGTGGGGTGTCTGTGGGAGATGTGTCCATGGGGGTGGTCAGCGTCCCTATGGTGCTTGATGCGGTGTCCATGGGCATCTCAGTGCTCAGTGTGATGGCTGTGAAGGCGGTTGCTGTAGAGTCGTCCATGTCTGTGGTGGGTGAAGAGGTTTCTCCTGTGGCTGTCGAGATACCTGGAGTGGCCGAGGAGGCTCCAGATGTCGTAGGGATGTAGGAGGGAGTTTCCCAAGGACTGCTATTGGTGGTGGTGGGGAAGGCTGGTGAGGAAGGACTGGTGCTTGTGGTGGCTTGTGAGACCTCAGTGGTGGTTGTGGAAGTGTTGGGGAGCCTGGTAGTGGTGCTGTGAGATGGAGCTGCGCTTCCCATGCTCCRTGTAGAAGCTGAGCTGGTGGTGGTGGAGTGTGAGGTGTGTGTGAGGGCAGTGCTGGCCAAGGTGTTCTTGGTGGTGTCTGCAGAGGTGGGAGCTGTTGTAGGTGCTGAGGTGTCTGCTGTGGATGGCCATGTGCCACTGGGGGTGTCAGAGGTGTGAGTGGAGGAGGAGGAGCTGGGTGTGGAGGAGGTGTAAGTGTGAGGAGAGGTGTCCGTGGTGGATGCAGTGGTCCTGTCTGGGCTGCTGTTAGTGACCGAGGTGTCTGCAGAGAYGTGTGTGTCCGTGGAAGTTGCTGRGGTGTGTGTGGTGGTTGTTAAAGAGGAGGTGGGAAGTTGTGAGTCATCTGTGGTCATTTTGGAGGAGGCCATGGAGGTGTTCGGGGGGTCTGTGGGAGATGTGTCAATGGGGGTGGTCAGGGTTCCTATGGTAGTTGATGCAGAGTCCATGGGCATCTCAGTGCTCAACGTGGTAGCTCTCAAGGTGGCCACTCTAGAGGTGTCCATGTCCATGGTGGGTGCTGAGGTTTCTCTTGTGGTTGTGGAGGTGCCTAGACTTGCAGAGGAGTCCCAAGGGGTTGCAGCAGTTTCTGTGCCAGTTTGGGGTGTGCTCTCGATGGTGGAGAGGGTGGATTGTGTTGGAAAGCTCCTTGTGGTGCCTTGGGAGGTTCCTTTGGTGGAGTGGAAGGTGGTGGAAACRGTGTTGGAGTTGAGAGTGGATGAAGCTGCGGTTCCCACGTCGTCTGTAGAAGCTGGTGTGGTGAAGGTGGTGTCCAGGGTGGCTGTGGTGCCTGCGAGGGGGCTGCTGTTGATGCCCGTGGTGGTGGAGGAGTCCAAAGCAGAGGTGGGATGTTCTGAGGTTGGCGCAATTCCCAAGGCCTCTGTGGAAGCTGTGGGGGTGGTCCTTGTGCCCGTGGCRGCAGTGACGGGGCTGCTGTTGATGTCCAAGGTGGTCATGGTGGTCTCAGCACTAGGGCTGATGGTTAATGTGGGGGTTGATGAGGTCTCTGTTGAATGTGGTGGGGTTTTGGTGGTGTTCGTGTCCAAGGTTGCTGTGGTGCCTGTGTCTGGGGATGTTGCAGGGGTGTCTGTGGTGGTTGTGAAGGAGGTGGTGGRAGGTTCTGAGGTGTGTGTGGGTGTTTTGGAGGGGGWTGTGGAGCTCTTTGGTGTGTCTATGGGAGGAGATGTGTCCATGGTGGTGGTCAGGGTCACTATGGTGTTTGCGGTGTCCATGGGCATCTCAGTGCTTGATGTGATAGTTGTGAAGTTGTTTGCTGTAGAGCTGTCCATGGTGGGTGGTGAGGTTTCTCTTGTGGCTGCAGAGGTGCCCAGGGTGGCCAAGGAGGCCTCAGGGGTTGTAGTGATGTTGGAGGGAGTCTCCGAATGGCCCCTATTGGTGGTGGTGGAGAAGGTTGAAGAGGATGTAGTGGTGCTTGTGATGCCTTGGGAGATTTCTATGGTGGTCCTGGAAGTGGTGGAGAGTGTGGAACGAGTGATGATGGAAGGAGCTGCACTTCCCGTGCTCTGTGTAGAAACTGAGCTGGTGGTGGTGGAGTGTGAGGTGTGTGTGAGGGCAGTGCTGGCCAAGGTGGTGGTGGTGTCTGCAGAGGTGGTGGCGGTTGTAGGTGCTGAGGTGTCTGCTGTGGTTGGCCATGTACCACTGGTGGTGTCAGAGGTGTGAGTGGATGTGGAAGAGGTCACCATGGAGGAGGTGTCAGTGTGAGGAGAGGTGTCCATGGTGGTTGTGGTGGTCRTGCCTGGGCTGTTGTCTGTCACGGAGGTGTCTGCAGAGACGTGTGTGCCTGTGGAAGTTGCAGAGGTGTGTGTGGTTGTTGAGGAGGAGGAGGTGGGCTTTTCAGAGGTGTCTGTGGAGGAGGCCGTGGTGGTRTTTGGGGTGTCTGTGGGAGGAGATGTGTCCATGGGCCCGGTGAGGGTTCCTATGGTGCTTGATGCAGAGTCTGAGGGCATCTCAGTGCTTAATGTTGTGGCTATTAATGTGATTGCTGTAGAGCTGTCCATGTCCATGGGGGGTGCTGAGGTTTCTCTTGTAGCTGCAGAGGTGCCCAGGGTGGTCAAGTAGACTTCTGGGGTTGTGGAAATACTGGAGGGAGTCTCCCAAGGGCCTGTATTGGTGCTGGTGGTGAAGGCTGATGGGGACGGAGTGGTGCTAGTGGTGACTTGGGACATTCCTGTGGTGGTTCTGGACATGGTTGGGAGCGTGGGAGTGGTGCTGTGAGATGGAGTTGTGCTTCCCATGGTCTGTGTAGAAGCTGAGCTGGTGGTGGTGGAGTGTGAGGTGTGTGTGAGGGCAGTGCTGGCCAAGCTGGTGGAGGTGTCTGCATAGCCAGGGGTGCTTGTACGGGCTGAGGTGTCTGCTGTGGTTGGCCAYGTGTCCTGAGTGGTTTCAGAGGTGTGAGTGGAGGTGGAGGAGGTGGCTGTGGAGGAGGTGTCAGTGTGAGGAGAGGTGTCCGTGCTGGTTGTGGTGGTCATGCTTGGGCTGTTTTCTGTGACCGAGGTTTCTGTAGAGACATGTGTGCCTGTGGAAGTTGCAGAGGTGTCGGTGGTGGTTGGTGAAGGGGAGATAAGAGATTCTGAGGTGTCCACGTTTGTTTTGGAGGAGGCCATGGCGGTGTTTTGAGTGTCTGTGGGAGGAGATGTGTCCATGGAAGTGATCAAGGTTCTTGCTGTGGATGATGAAGAATCTGTGTGGCTCTTAGTGCTTAAAGMGGTGGCTGTGAAGGTGGTTGCTGTAGAGTTGTCCATGTCCATGGTGGTGGCTGAGGCTTTTCTTGTGGCTGCAGAAGTGCCCAGGGAGGCAGAGGAGGTCCCAGAGGCTGCATCGGTGCTCGTTGGAGTTTCCCAAGTGCCCATGTTGGTTGTGGAGAAGGTTGATGAGGTTGGCGTGTTGCTTATGGTGGCCTGTGAGATCTCATTGGTGGTTCTGGAAGTGGTGGAGAGGGTGGYGGAGGTGTCTGCTGTGGTTGGCCATGCGCTACTGGTGGTGTCAGAGGTGTGAGTGGATGTGGAGGAGATGGTGGTGGAGGAGAAGTAAGTGTGAGGAGAGGTGTCCATGGTGGTTGTGGTGGTCATGCTTGGGCTGTTGTTTGTGACCAAGGTGTCTGTAGAGACATGTGTGCCTGTGGAAGTTGCAGAGGTGTCTGTAGTGGTTGAGGAGGAGGAGGTGGGAGGTTCTGAGGTGTCTGTGGAGGAGGCTGTGGAGGTGTTTGGGGTGTCTGTGGGAGGAGATGTGTCCATGGGGGTGGTCAGGGTTCCTACAGTGCTTGATGCGTAATTGGTTGGCACCTCAGTCCTTGCTGTGGTGGCTGTGAAGATGGTTGCTGTAGAGTTGTCCATGTCCATGGTGGATGCTGAGGTTTCTCTTGTGGTTTTGGAGGTGCTTAGACTGGCTGAGGAGGCTCCAGGTGTTGGTACGATGTTTGTAAGAGTCTGCCAAGTGCCCTTGTTGGTGGAGGAGAAGGTTGATGAGGATGGAGAGGTGCTTGTGGTGCCTTGGAAGGTCTCGTTGGTGGTCTCGGAAATGGTGGAAAGGGTGTTGGAGGGGCCGTGAGATGGAGCTGAGCTCCCCATGCTCTGTATTGAAGTTGAAATGATGATGGTGGAATGGGAGGTGTGTGTGAGGGCAGTGCTGGCCAAGGTGGTGGTGGTGTCTGCATATGTGGGGGCAGTTGTAGGTGCTAGAGGGCTGCTGATGGTCTCCAAGGTGACGGCAGTTTGAGCAGGGGAGACGGTTTCAGGTGCTGAGGTTTGGGCTGTTGTTTGCCAAGTACCACCGGGGGTGCCGGAGATTCCAGTGAAGGATGAAGAGGTGAGTTTGGTCAGGGTGTCCATGTCCACGTCGCTAGTGAACGTTGAGGTTTGTGCAGGGGTTGCATAGGTGCCCAGGTTGGCAGAGGAGACCACGGAGGTTTCAGAYTTGGGTGGGGGACTTTCAGAAGACCCCTCGGTGGTGGGGGGGAAGGTTGAGGAGGTTGGAGAGGTGCTTGCGGTGGCTTGGGAGATTTCCATGGTGGAGGTGAAGGTACCAGAGGAGGTGACAACGGCGGCACTGGAGTTCGCTGCATTGCCCTCGGTCTCTGTAAATGGTAGTGTGGAGGTGACTGTGGAAGTTGGTGTGATGGAACYAATGTCCGAGGTCAACGTGAGGGGACTGCTGCTGATGCCTGAGGTGATGGTGTTGGTGGTGGAGGCTGCTGAGCTTTCCAACGCCTGTGTAGAAKCTGACGTTCTTTTGACCGTGGTGGTGTCCAAGGTGTTCATCATGTCCGTGGGAGGGYGGCTGTTGATCCCTGAGGTGGTGGAGACAAAAGTGGGGCTGGGAAACGCGGACGTTTCTGCAGTGGTTTCCCAGTTGCCCCTAGTGGTCACAGCGGTGGTTGTGGTGGAGAATGAAGTGCCCATGGTGGAGGTGTAAGTGCCCTCTGTGGTGCTGGAGGTGTAAGCGTCCCCCGTGGGGCTGTGTGAGGTGAGTGTGGTGGTCATGTCGTGGTTGCTATTGGTGGCCAGCGTGCCTGTGGAGACACCTGCAGCTGTGGAAGCTGCCGAGGTGTCTGGGGCGGTTGGCCAGGAGGARGTGTTAGGAAGTTCTGAGGTGTCTCTGGTTGTTTTGGAGGCCATGGTGGTATCTAGGGAGTCTGTGGGGGGAGAAGTGTCCATGGGGGTGGTCGGAGTTCCTACAGTGGTTGGTGCAGAGTCCATGGGCATCTCAGTGCTCAATGCGGTGGCTGTTAAGGTGGCCACAGCAGAGTTGTCCATGTCCTGGTTGGATATTGAGGCTCCTCCTGTGGTTGCAGAGGTCCCCGGGGTGGCAGAGGAGGCCCCAGGGGTTTCAGTGGTGTGTGGGGGAGCCTGGGAAGGGCCCTTGGTGGTGACRGAGGAGACTGGTGAGGTAGGAGAGGAGTTTGTGGCGATGGGGGGGGTTTCATTGCTGTGGGTGGGAGCTGTGAAATGGGTGGAGGATGTGCCACTGGTGGTGGCTGTGGTTAGCAGCRTCTCTGTAGAAGATGGTCTGGTGGTGGTGGTGATGGTTGAGTTGATTGCAAGGGGGCTGCTCTTGGTGCCGGTGCTGGAGCTGAGTGGTTCGGTCGCATCAGCTGCTGTGCAGTCTGGAAGAGAGAATTTGACCRTGACCTTTCCAGGCCAATCTCCAGTGCTCCACTGGCAATCAGGTCCCTTCTAGGGTCAGGAGGACCCTGGCTGCTCTTCCCACCCTTCTCCTCCAGCATATTTCCCCCCAAAGCTCCATCTCCTTCAGGTCCCRCCCTGCAGTGCCAGGTGCGGTCAGAGGGTTGTGCTCGTGTAACACCTGATCTACGTAGGCCTGGACATTCCTCCCTGGCGCTTGGTGGCATCAGCTGSGAGCTCCTGCTTCCCACCACGTTCCTGGCGGGAACGGGGCTCTTTTCCATGAGCAAAAAGCCGGACCGTACAACCCGCCCCAGGGTTCCATAAGGAGAAGGTCTTCCCAGGAGCSCGTCACCCACCGCAGTTGCGTGGTGGTTGCTCACAAGCCTGGGGTGTCTTTGGGAGGAGATGGTCCCGACGCTTTCCCAGGGTGATGGGTGCGGAACCGCGGGGCTCTGTGTCAAGGAGGTGGTGCAAGGCGCTGCCACCAGGCCTGGAGGGTGGTGGGAACCTTGGACAACCTTGATCCCTGGTCAGCCCCCTTCCCTTAACCCCCCTGCCAACTCACGGCTCTTCTGGTGTGGGTCTGAGATGGGGAGAGGTGGGGAAGGAAGGATGAGACCTTCAGAGCAAGCTCTGATGGGGAAATTCAGCCCCCTTGCCTTGATAGTTCCCTGAGATGTTTAAGTTGGTTTGAGCTCTGCCAGCTTTAAAAAAAGTGCTTTTTAAACAAAAAAAGAAAGAAAGAAAAAAAGAGACATTTCTGCTCCGGCTTTTAATTGAAGCTCTTTAGAAGAGGTCATGCTGTCTTTTGCCCAAATTAGCCTCCATTAAGCAATGAGCTCCCCGGCTTCCTGGGAGCACTTAACGAGATTTGATGGCTCCGAGCGCGGTGACTCTGATGTGCGCAGTGAGGCGGSGGGGGACGCGGGCAGGGGGCCGATTGGCCGCCCGGCGCCTGCGAGTGCTCCTCAAGAGCTGAAGCGATGGAGGATGGGCACGGAGAAACGCTCYGAAGGTTGGAGCAGGACCGGCGAGCAATGGTGGGGGAGGAAGGGAGCAGCTCCCCAACGGGCGGGTTGGTTGTGGGGTGATGTGACCAGTCAGGTCTTATCAACAGGGTCACGTTGATGCAGGCGGAGATCTGGCCCAGGGCAAGCTGCATCCCGACAGGAGGGCTCGTAGGTGATGTGGGGTGAGGGGTGCTGAAGGAGACCCCCAGCTAGATGCCATGGGTCAACTTACCGAACTAGATGTAATAGCTGATGTGGGTGGGCAGGGCTGAAGGAGACCCTGAGCTAGATGTCATGGGTCACCTTCCAAACTAGATGTCGTAGGTGATGTGGGGTGAGGGGGGCTGAAGGAGACCCTGAGCTAGATGCCATGGGTCACCTTCCCAAACTAGATGTAATAGCTGATGTGGGGTGGGCAGGGCTGAAGGAGACCCCGAGCTAGATGTCATGGGTCATCTTTCCTGGGAAAACCAGCCTGCAGTGGGGGATGGATCACTGCGCGGAGGCCCTCTTCGAGCAGCAAGGTGCCCCATTGCTGTCACCGTCTCAGGAGATAAATCCAAGCTCTCGACCTCGGAATGCCCCTCCAGCTGCCCCGGGGCTCCCATGGGTGGGATGGGGTTGGATGGAGAGGAGTGAGGCTGCCAGCTCAGAAGGAGGAATGGAGGCAGCAGCACTGAGGCCTCACTGCGGCTGGGAGGGTGAACTTGCACAGCAGGGGTGAGTGGGACAGGTCAATCGTTGGCTCATGGAGGAGAAACTCATGCGCTCAGGGGGACGTGGCCCTTTTGGGGATGTCTTACAACCTAGGAGGAGCATTTCGGGGGCAGTTTCATAGCTAAGAAACCCCGAAGGAGCAATATCTCCCATCTCCTGGGGAGGGCCACAGTTTTCTCCTCCATCCCCCTGCAAAAAAAACCATCCGGAAATGCCACGTTGAAAGGCCGAGACTCCCGCCATACCTTGGGAGATGAAGAGGAGCAGGAGGAAGGGAACAGTGGAGAACATCTTCCCAAGTCACCGATCCATAGGCGACAGGAGCAGCATCCCAGAGCCGCGAGCCGCGCGAGGTGCCGGGAGAGCAGGAGCAGGCGGCGGCGGCAGAGTCAAGGGGAAGAGATGCCAGGGACCTTTGCCCCCTGCACGTGGAGCGAAGCCGCTTTCTTCCATCGCGCCCATCGTTTTACGAGCCGCGTTCCGGTGGCGAGTGCCAAGTTACGAGGGTTTCCCAAGAAGAAACGAGAGTGTGCGACAATCGGAAGCAACGGGAGGCCAAAAGGCACATGCTCCGCGGGAGGCCGGGTCCGTCCGCCGGCCCGGCCACGTCCGCAGAGATGCTGCACCGCGCTCGCCGTGGCTGCGTGGACACAGGGATCGCCCGCCCTGGATTTGGATGGTGCCCATCCAAATACCCTGCCCCTCATCTCCCTTGGCCCACGCCTGGACCACCGCAAATACCAAGGGCTGGTTTTTAATATGAGGCRAAGTGAGTCGGTGTTGACCCCGGCTTGGCTGGGAGCTCCGTCCTGCAGAACTGCCGTTCCGCAGTTGCCCCCGGGGCTCCCCAACCCCACAATTTCAGTCCACTGAGTCGCGGGGGTGGGAAACTCTCAAAGAAACGGCCCAGAAATCATTTTGGCAGCCCTCCAACGCCACCCCAGCCCCCTCCCCGCCTCTCCTTTGTCCTGCTTCTTCAGCTCTTGTGTGCGTTCCCACACGCAGGGAAGGGCCGTTTTCCGCCCCAAAAGCAAACATCCTAATCTCCTCATTGATACCACTGCAAAGCAGCTGGCGAGGGCCGTGAGAGGGATGAGGAAATGACAGCGGGGGGGTGGAGGAGGGGAGAGAAGACCATTTTATTGAGCTTCTGGATGGAATCGCTGAGTCAGTGCCCTAGGGGCCAAGTGGGCAACCCTCAACGCTTGGGGGGCTTTTTCCTTGTCCCGGAGCAGCGRGACCTCCGTTTTCCCAGGATGAGGGTACTTTGCAAACACCGGGGGGGTGCTGCAGCATTTCCCACCCCCACAGAGGTGGAACGGCCGCAACTGGTGTTTCCTAGACGCGGTTGCCCCGACGGGAGCGTCTGCTCCGGAWTTGGGCAGCCCGGAGCGGCGGCTCTGGTTTTGGCCCGTATCCGGGGACACTGACGCCTGGAGGGTGCTCCCCACCCTCGGGATTTCCCCGCCGTCCTCACCACCTCATTTGCCTTGGGTCTGTTCCAGGAAGTACAATAAATACTTTTAATAAATAGAATTTCCGCGGGATCGAGTTCCTCCTCCGGCYGGGGAGCCAAGCCCGGCTGCGTTAAGCAGTAGATGCAGTGGCGTCCTCTCCAGCAAGGGGTAAAAAAGGGGGGCAAAAGAGACCCCCTCCTCTCACAGAGGTGCCAAATTGACCTGCATCTCCCCCAAAACAGAGGGCGTCAAGAAATACCGGTGGCTTTCCCTGCTTCCCCTTTCCGAAGGCCAAAGCTTGGGGTCGCTCGGGCTTCTCTTGCGCCGTGCACGGACCCGGTCCTGTTGTAGCCCCCCAGCACGGGATCTTGCAGGCCAAGAGGGGAGCCGGATCCTTGTGTTTGGACCCCTCCACGCTGACCCTCCACCCTCATCATCCCATCACCGTGTGGGGCTGAGCAGCCCCCAAGTTTTCCCCGTTGCCCAGCCCTGTCTCAAGGGGATGTTGAGTTTTGAGGTCCCGCTTCCCAGTCCATGGGGCGCTATAGGGAATCAGCAGCTTCCTCCGACGGCTGCATCTGCAAGGAGGAGGAGGAAGGTGCGGTGAGAGGGAGAGCTTGGAGGCGTCACACGGGACACCCCGGACCACTAGCGTTGTCTGGGTACCTACCGGCATGGAGAAGGAGGCGGCCTCCGCATTGGGCTTGTAAGCGCTGGGGGTGTTGGAGGCTGGGGAGGACAGAGGCGTGATGCGTGAGGACCCACCATGGGCAAGGCTCTC